ATCATTCTAATTATATAGAATAATATAATAAATCTAAGCTCTTTTTAGAGGTTAATGGTTTTATGCTCTATATAAACAATTCAGAAAAAGATCCCAATCAATTCCTATATTTTAAAGAAAATAATATATTTATTTCAAGAGAAATTCATCTCAAATATAGCGAAAAAATGAAGGAATATAAAGATAAATCTAAAAGAGCTTTAATAATATTAAAATCAATAATATTAATAAATTTAATAAAAAGATTTAAGAAAAAAACAAATCCAAAAGAGCTCTAGGATACTATAAATAAGATTTATAATAAAACTTCACTCGATATAATAAACCGATATTTTAATAAATTAATAGAATCAAATTATAATAATTTTAATAATATAAATAAATATATAAATCATATATTATTATTATATATATATTTAAAAGAATTAAAATTCGAATTACAAAAATCTTATATAATATAGATTATATTTAATAATCTAAATAACTTATTTGATTTGTTTAAATTACAAAAAACAGAAGAATTATTAAAAGATTTAAATAATAATAATAATATTGATTTGAATAAACTTATATTCGAATTAATATTTGAAGAATTAAGAATAAAAGGCTTTATAAAATCTAATAAGGTTATAAAATCATTAAATATTATTCCAAATTATATATTTTGTAATAAAAAGGGGCATTTAGAAGAAAAGTGTTTTAAAAAACATTCAGAACTATATAATAAGGATTATAAAAAGTTTAAAAACTCTAATAATAAGAGTAATTCCAAAAAACAATTTTATAAAGTTATTAAAGAGTTAAATAACCTTAAAAAATCCAATAGGATCTATAAAAACAATAAAAATAATAAAAATTCTAATCAAAAACAAAAGAAAAATAATAAAAATCATAATAAAAATGATAAAAATTATAAAGAAAGTTTTAATAATGAGATAAATCAAATCTCTCAAATAGACTATAATTTAGTATTTAGCTTTGAATAGGAAAATAATATTATAACTATATTTATATTAATCAATTATACTAGTAGATCTAAAAATAATATTATAATAGATTCAGGAGCTATAGAGTACTACTATCCAAATAAAGATTGGTTTATAAATTATAAAGAATATAAAGTCCTAAAATATACAAATATAATTAATAAAGAATTTATATTAGTATTAGGGCAAGAGGATATTTTTATTATTATAAATAATAAGAAAATATTTATTCAAATAGTAAAGCATATTCTATTATTAAAATCAATTCTAATTAGTACCAAATAAGCCGCTAAAAAGGGTTAGACTAGTGAAATACTATTTTCCGACAATATTTATAAATTTTCGAATAAATTTTTAAATATAAAGGCGAACGCTAAATGGATTAATAATACTTTCTACCTAGAATGCGATATAAATTATGATTTATTAAATCAAAATAAGAATATTATTTATAATAATAATAAAGATTCTAAAATAGATTAAATAAATGAATCTAAAGAAGAATCAGAATCTAAAAAAGAATCTAATAATACAAATCTAAAAGATTTAAACCTATAATATAAGCATTTAAATTATATAAATAAAGATTATATTATAAAAACACTAAATTTAAAAGATTCTAAAATGGATTTAAGTTATTATAAAACCTGTATATATAGTAAAATGACTCAAAATATTAGTAAATCCCTATCAAATTTGAAATTAAACAAATTTGATAAAATTAGTATTAATATTTGTGAACTATTTAAAACATCAGAATTAAAAGAAAAAAAATATTTTATTATTTTTATAGATTGGGCTATACAAGGCATATAGGTGTATTTCATAAAATTTAAATTAAACACTTTTAATATATTAAAAGAAGTATTTTATTTGATATATAATCAATTTAATACTAAAATAAAAACGATTAGATTAAATAATACTAAAGAATTTAATTCCAATTAATAGAATTTATTTACTAAATCTAAAGGAATTATATTAGAATATATTAATCCTTATTATTATTCCCAAAATGAAATAGTCGAAAAATTAAATAGATATTTAGTAAAAAGAATATTAATATTTATAAGAAATAAAAATCTATTTATATTCTTATGGCCTAATATATTAAAAGGAATAGTTTATATTAAGAATAGATACTATAATAGAATTATAAAAAGCTTATTCTTTAAATTATTATATAATAAAGAATCTAATATAAAATATATTAGGATTCTAGAATCTCTTGTATATGTATTAAAATATAAAGAAAAAAGAGATAATAAATTTGATTATAAATCAGAAAAAGGAATTTTAGTAGGATTTGAATCTTCAAAGAATTTATTATTTTATATTCCAAATAGAAATAAAATAATGAGTTTTAGTGATTTTATTATTAAAAAAGATATATTATATTATAATAATAATATTAAAAATAATTTTATTAAAAAGGATTTATTAGAAAAATTAAAAGAAAACTCTGATATTAATAATCAAGAAGAAGAGGTAGATATATATAATAATATATATAAAGATTTAAATAAAAATATTGATTCTAAAGATTCTAATATTAATAAAAGTAGATTAATAATTGAAATATTATTTAATTCTAATTTACCTATTTCTATTAAATAATCTAAATGTATGTGAAAGGTAGAATTATAATTAGATATATATAATCTCGTTTATATATTATATATTGAATTAAAGAATCAAAATTATAAATTTAAATTAAATAATATTGATAACAATCAATGTAAAAAGAATATATTATTATTATGTTTCAGTATAAAAACTAACGAAAAAGTAATAATAAAAAGGCCTTATAATAAAAATCTAATAACTCCTAAAATATATTTACAAGCTATAAATTCTAATCAAAAAGAATATTAAAAAAAAGCTATAGAATATGAAATAAAGATTCTTGAAAAAAATAAAACCTAGGATATTATTATTAAAAAGAATAATAATAATATAAAAAAGCTAAATATTCTAAAGACAAAATGAGTTTATAAAATTAAATATTTATTTAATAATAATATTAAATTTAAAACTAGATATATAATTAAAGGGTTTAAATAATTATATGAATTAGATTATTTAAATACTTTTGTTAATATAATAAAGTAAATAACCTGGAAATTGGTATTTATATTAATAATAAATAAAGAATAATATATATACAAAATAAATATAATTTTAGTTTTTGTATAAAGAAATATTAATAAAAATATATATATCAAAGTCTCTAAAATATATTATAATAATAATATAATATTAAAGCTAAATAAAGCTCTATATAGATTAAAATAGTTTACTAAAATTTGATATATTATATTAAAAAGTATATTAAATAAATTAAATTTTATTAATATAAAATCAAATAAATATATATTTATAAATAAATATTCGGGATTAATATTGAATATATTTATTAATAATATTATTATTATAGATTCTAACAAGATTCTAATCAAAGATTTTATTAAAAATCTTAAAAACCATTTAGATCTAAAAGATTTAGATTCAATAAAAGATTATTTAAGTATTCAAATCAATTTAAATAAAGATTATATTGAATTATATCAAGAAGAATATATAAATAAATATCTAAAAAACCTAAAACTAGAAGATTACACCTCTATAGCTATACCTATGGTTACTAAAAATAATATAAAAATAAATCCTAATAAAGCTGATTTAAATAAAATAAAATAGGCTCAAAAAGCAATAGGGAAATTATTATATTTAGTACTAGGAATTAAATGAGATATTGTTTATTCTATATTAAAATTAGTAAGATATATATCTAATTCTAGTAAAGACTATATAATAACTATAAAAAGAATATTTCAATATTTAAAAGAAACTAAAACGTTTAAAATTATATATAAGAAAGATAATAATAAATATATTAAAGGATTTTGTGATATAGATTATACAAAAGATAAAAGCTTTACTAAATCCATTAATAGCTATATATTTATATATACTAATAGTCTAATCAGCTAGAGGACTAAATTGTAATCTATTGTAGTACAAAATATAGTAGAATCTAAGCTAATTGTTATAAATTTAACTACTAAAGAGACTATATATTTAAAATATATATTATAGGAATTAAATCAATTTAATCAAAATAAATTCCTATTATATATAAATAATATATTAGTAAAAGTTATATCAAATAATTCTATATATCACAATAGGAGTAAGTATATTAATACTAAATATTATTATATAAGAGATCTTATAAATAAAGAATATTTAAATCTAATATAAATTTCTATAAAAAATCAATTAGCTAATAGATTAATTAAACTATTAGAAAGAATCAAATTATCAAGATTTATTAATATAATTCAAAATTTTAATAATTATTATTATTAAAATAAAAATATATATAAAAATTAGTACTCTTTTTCCCTTTAAAATAAGAAGGTTTTTAATAAGATTAATATATATATATTTATATATATATAAAAAGATAATACATATTAAAAAGGACTATTATTTTAATTAAAAAATAATATAATATATATATCTTTTTAATAACATTCAATTCAGTATTAACATATTATATAATCAGATCACATAATTGTTGCCTATAAGCTTACAAAAACAACCATTAATCCAAAAACAACCATTAAGCCGAAAATGGTCATAAATCCGAAAACGGATATAAAAATAAAAAAAAATAAAAAAGGGCTTTATTTCGAAAGAATGGACAGATTAGGAAGAGATTTACAAAAGATTTATAAAAACAGAAATATTGAATTAAAAGGAAAAAGTATAAAAAAAGGCTTTTTTCCCCTTGAATATAAAATAAGAGAGATAATTATTCAATACAGATTCTTTAATATCACATATCACACTGCTTATATAATCCATTTTAGTCGTTAATCAGAGCCAGCTTCTATACTATACTATTAGCCTATGACCTACGATAATAAAGCACAGAAGAGTTACGTTTTGGAAGCTAGTTATGAAACTGGGTATAGTGTTAATAATAAAGACTAAGATCCCTAGAGTTCATAGTAAGACTTGATGTATGCGGATCCCGGAGCCATGAATTACTCGTAAGTACAATATAACAATGGCCGTCTTGGCGAAGCTCAATGCCTGTACACAGAATACTTGCGCAAGAAGATTGTAGTATTGCTGGTGCACCGCCTCGTTGTATTTGAGGTAGGATGTATGTTGGCTCAAGCCATAATGTACGGCTACAAAGTCAACAATGGTGGTAATAAGAGCTTGAAGCTGTCATGAGTGTGAGAATTTTGCGAGTATGAAAGGAATGTCTAGACGGACAAAATTTACCAATGCAAACACCATCAGGTAATCATCCCATCATCTCTCTGAGTACTTCAGTCGTGTGAAACATATAAGCGCGACCACGATAGCGGCACTCAAAAATGTCACTGTCGTACCTACTTCTAGTTTCCAGCCAATGTTGATATCTCCGTTTGAAGAAGACTGAGAGTTTGCGCTCATGATGGCAAATTAAAAATAAAACAAAGAAGAACTGATCTTGGGAATAAAATGTATTTATCTACTGCTAAGTATGACTTCAGTTGATTTAATATAGCAGGATATCAAGATCCGGAAACCATATGTCAAATATAAAGGCTTTTCATGAAGTTCCGTTAGTAAGGTCTCAAGACTAGATAAGGAATAGTAGAAAGGATTCAAAATCAGAAAAATTTCAGGGTCAGATTTAGGTTACAATGATCGCAACTCACCACCATTTTTGTGATCTTTAAAGTCGCAATTGATGTATTGCTGAACAGTACTCGCTGTGATATTTTCGATACGTGCCGAAATACGCAGTCTTCTATATTGTCACCACCATCTCACAAAAGACGAAGAGTAAGCAGACTGTATCGGGCGCTTTATGCACACTGCATCACATGCATAGACGGAGATAATGGCTGAAAGTGGTGAGAGATGCAGATTTAATAAGAATATATGCTTGTGAGGGGCACAGATGAGGCGAGGAATGCAGAAGCAGGGAGAGGCACAGGTAGAATGAAAGGTTCAAGTCGGGTCGATTGAAGTAGCGTTGATACGACTATAAGTAGGAATTTATATATTAAGAAAATACTACGGCATGGACAGGGTGTCATTATTAGGAGCGATTGAAATGACGACACGCTAATTGAGCTTAAACCTAATAAGGAACCATGGAAAATCCAAATACTAATAAGAGTTCTCTAGTGAAATGCTACACCTAAGGTAAGTAAATACTATAATGACTTCCATTTCAATTCAATTAATCAATTATATCTATCATTTAGTATAATAATCTGATTATAATTAATTAAAACTTTTAAAGAAGTAAAAGATTATATTAATAATTAAGTAAGTTTTAAGAGCTTTAAAAGTCCCTATAATTTAATGATTGAAAGCCTATAGTAGGGCTTTACAAAGAAAAAGTTTCAAGTTTTTTTTTCTTACAAGGGGTAATTGAATGGTACTTGATTCAGTTTAGTTTTCTTAGCGTGTCGTCATTTAAATCGCTCCCTCATTATTGACCGGTTATTCCAGATGTTAGGCACACTGAATGAACTGTTAAATCAGAATTGTTGGAGAGATTTGTCCTGTTGGAACTCAATAGGAAAAGGCTGTCTGGAGTTGGGGAAATTCTATATAAGGCATTGATTCATTTTTCATTTTTACATTAATCTCAGAGTCGGGTTTTTTGTTTGGAATCGTTTTTCGACAAATTTATCGATGTACTAAACAACAAGATCTCTATTTGAAAATTGTCGATTCTTTTGAAAGTCCGTAGAAATGTTGAATGGAAAGTATGTCATTGGTCTAGATATCTTTAATGTAAAGTGTCGAGTAAGAACTACTTCTTCAAGTATGTCAAATACAGATTTATAAGTTTTCTTGTGAAAAAGTCTTCTGTGGACAGGACAACAGGCAAGATTTATTTTGACCCTCTTCATAGAATTCACATTATTGATAATCATCGCAAAAGCTACCAAGAAAAACTGTTCATTCTTTATTATCAACAGGGAAACCCTTAAACCCTTTTACATAATCATTTGGAACTTTCAACTTTCATGATGAGATCTTCTAGCTGCTCAGCGACAAACGGCGGGTTGTCTTTGTGGACAAAATGTCCACACCTTGGTGCGATGATTGGCCCCTTGGCCCTGTCCTGATCAGTGAGTTTACAAAGATCCTCATTGTACTTTTCCCACATTCTGTTTCACATTAGCCAAATTTCCGATTGAGAAATGAGCGTTTACTTACGGTTGAGTATACATGGCAGCCATGCCCAAAGGAACCTTCAACATTGCCCACTCTTCCTTTGAGAATTGTTCGAGCTCATGACCCACAACAGTTATCCAAGGACCTTTGTCTGAAGTCTTTGATCCTTTGAGCTTGGGCTCTGATGGGTTCGGTAGAATGATCTTAATGTCTCGGCGGTCAAAACCTTCGCCGTTTTTCGAAGTTGGGGCAAATATTGATGTCATCTTGGTGTAGGCGGCCTCATATACTTCAAGCGAAGTGCCAGGAGGAGTCATTTTTTCCAGATCAAAAGATGGGTCCTTCGGATTAGGCCATATCATGGCGTAGTCAGTATTCCCAGGGTTCGAGTCAAGGAACAAGATCCCTTCGACAATTTTTGGATATCCACATCAGACGATAATTGTTAGTCACATCACGAGTAAAAAGGTATGGATTTATTGTCTGTTACCTGTCAGCGTATCTTCGCGCGACGTGTGCGCCTATGCTGTTATTCACAAAGACGATACGTGAGGAACGATCAGGTGAAACAGTTTGAATCAACTCTTGAAGATCGTCGGTAACATCGTCCAAATTGTGCGCATAGCCAGGATCTTTGTTCGGCAAGCTTTCACGCGGATCTTTTGGAGAAGCGCCTTGGCCATAGCGATCGTAAGTAAGTATCCATGGCTTTGGGGAGATACGCGACTGCTGAATGAGCTCAATGGTTGGTCTCCAGCTGGTCTGTGCAAGCCCAAGACCATTAAGGCAGACTACAAGAAGACTGCTAGCGGCATCTCCTTGGAAGAGCTCATACGCAACAGGGGCGTCTGGCTTGGAACGGAGAATTGCAGTAGGCATGACAGATTAGAAAAATGTCTTTAGAAGAAAAATTGAGGAAAGCTGTTGTTTCTATGATGCTTTCAACTATCAGTGCGATGGTGAAGAGATGAAAAGGCCAACTTCGGTTCAAAGAAGAAAAATATATTGTGCCGTATTGGACAAACAATCGTTCAATTCCCTTCTCTATATTTAATAGGTAGATATTCTCCGGAATTTCGCATGTGTCAAGTAAGTAGAATTCGATGAGATTCCATGCGGCAAAGGCCTTCCAACCGATTACGAGTGTACATATACTCTGAGTTATAAAATAATACAACATTATCAAGAGGGTGTATATCGGCTTACGGACTTAGCCCCACCCACTCATTGACCTTACTCCTGAGAAGGCATACTGAACTACAAACAACGAGATAGGTAATAATCAACTTATCAATAATTGGTTCTTCAAGTAATTGATTACAAAGCAAATTATTCTTATGAGATTGTCAAACCAATTAAAGTTTATAGTATAATTAGTATAATTAGTATAATTATTGAATATATAATATAGTTTATTAGTGAATCAGTTATATTAGTGAATCGGCCATTTTTACCTCAAATTATTATTCTAAAGCTATATTATTCAACAATAATTAAATCAATTAATTAAAACTATAAAGATTCTAATAATCTAGAATCTATTAACATAACATATAGGGAACTCGGACATATGGGGAACTCGGATACTTTCTCAATTATTCTACACGCGATCTTATTCTATAAGCCACACAATCCTCCAATTCCAATTTCAAATTACTTGAACTATTCTCTAACTCTTCTTTTTCAATCTTTTCTTCTAATTCTTTAATTAGATATTTATATAGTTATCCTTGTAGCTTTTTCTCCTTCAGTTTTTCCTTCGCTTTATATATATCATCTAATTCATACTTTCGCTCAATGAAACGCGTGCGAAACGCGTTAAACCAAGCCTGAATATTCTCCGTAGCCTTTCTAATTGATTTAAATTCTTTCAATTGAAAGGAAATTATAGCCTTTTAAAACTTCTCTTCAATTTGAACAAATATAAAAAATAATTGAATATATATAATAAAAGTTATTACGATTTCAAATTAGTAATAGGCTAAAAGTGTCCGAGTTCCCCATATGTCCGAGTTCCCCATACGTTACGTTATATTATTTTAATAAGTTTTTATATTATATTCAATCTTTTTGTACTTATTATAATATTAACTAGAAAATACTTTTCTACTAGAATTCCTTTTTTTTTTAATACTTATTACATTTGTTGGAAATCACATGTGTAGCACGTGTGTAGCACGTATACACCACTATAAAACTCCTCTCCCGGACTTCCCGGATATATACATATTCAACATATCACTTACTATGTGCAACTTGCTGTCTACTTCTGACAACATTGAATCTAAATATTAACCTTTTATTAAAATAATATATCTTTAGTCTTTTATTTAATAAATACTTCTTTATTATATAATTAAATCTTTTTAATATATCAATATTTATTTAATATTTTATTTACTTTTCAAAATATATAATTCTTTATATTTAAAAGTATATTCTTATAAACTAATCTTTTTATATCTTTAATTAAAATTAATATAGTTTCAAATATAAATATAAAAAAGCTTAATTAATAATAAGCTATTTGAGATTTTATTAAAATTAATTATAAAAAACTTTTAATTAAATTATAAAATATTTAAAAGATCTAAGTATTTAAATTAATAAATAAAGAAATAAATATATAAATCTAAATATTCAATTTCGAAAGTATAATTTGAAAATTGAATAATATTAAATCTATTTCTCAAAAACTAGTTTTTATATTCTAAATTATAATTGATTATTGATATATAGTTTTAAAAACTATAAGGAATTTAATCTTAATAATATAATTAATATAAGCTTTAATAAATCTATTAATTTAATAACTATATATTTATTTCAATATATCAAAATAATTAATATTAAATAATTGAATTAAATAATTTGAATATAATAATAGTTTGAATATAATAATAGTTTGATTACTATAATATTATTTGACTTATAATATAATTAAAAAGATATTAATTCATAACTTTCATATTTATCTAATACTAGCATTTAATATTTACCCTTTATTCAATAAATTATATATTTATTAAAATACTTTAGTTATTCTAATCTCATTTTATTATTCATTTATTTATTAGAAATAGTTTTAATAATTCAATCTATAGGAAAACCGTTTTCTATATATCAATTAGAAAAGTAATATTGTTTTTATATAATTAAGAATAATAGTATAGTTTTCCTCTCTTTATTATTATATATAATTATTGTTTTAATTAAAAAATAATATAATATAACGTAGTTTATTAGTGGATTGGCTATATTAGTGGATTAGTCACTTTTACCTTAAATTATTATTCTATTTTCAATATGTGTTTTCTTTATAATTAAATATGGAAAGTTATTCTAAAAAAGTATATATAATTTTAGCTATTCAAGCTATTGAATTAAATAAAAAATTGATAATTTGAAAGGCAGTTCAGTTTTATGGTGTATTTCGATCTATATTGGGTAATAGAATTCGAAATAAATCTAATATAACTAAAAGTTGATCAAAAAGTTATAATTTGATTGAATTAGAAAAGGAGATATTTATTCAATATATAATTGATATGGATAGTAAAGGATTTTTATTTAAATTGAATATTATTGAAGATATAGTGAATTATATATTCGAAATGCGAGGGGTAAGGAAGATTAGAAAGCTTTGGGCTTATCGATTTATAAAGCGTTATACAGAATTAGAGATGTGTTTTAATTGCATTTATAACTTTCAAAGAACTCTCTGTAAAGATCCTAAATTTATTAAAGATTAGTTTTATTTAGTTTCGAATATACAGATAAAATATGATATTTTCGATTGCGATTTCTATAATTTCAATGAAACTGGCTTTATAATAGATATAATATGTCCCGGAATGGTAATAACTAATACTGAACGAAATAGTAAAAGCAAGATAATACAATTAGATAATAAAGAATAAGCTATAGCGATTATATATAGTAATAAAGAAAAAGAAATTATACTACCATTCTTAATTATATAAGAATAATATTATTTTTTTAATTAATATACAAAAAACAGTTTTCCTATAGATTAAACTATCAAAACTACTTCTAATAAATAGATAAATAATAAAACAGAATTAGAATAACTAAAGTATTTTGATAAGTATATAATTCATCGAACAAAGGGCAAATATCGAATGCTAATATTAAATAAATACAAAAGTCACAAATCAATACCTTTTCAATTATACTGTAAATCAAATAACATTATAACAATCAAATTACTATTACATTTAAGTTATTTAATTCAATTATTTAATATTAGTTGTTTTGATATATTGAAATAGATATATAGTTATTAAATTGATGGATTTATTAAAGCTTACATTAATTATATTATTAAGATTGAATTCCTTATAGCTTTTAAAACTATATATCAATAATCAATTACAGTTTAGAATATAAAAGCTGATTTTCGAGGAATAGGTTTAATATTATTCGATTTTCAAGCTATACTCTCGAAATTGGATATTCGGATTTGTACACCTACCCCTTCATCCATTAATTCAAATATTTGGATTTTTTAAACACCTTATAATCTAATTAAAGCTTTTTATAATCAACTCTAGTGAAATCTCAAATAGCTTGTTATCAATTAAACTCTCCTATATTTATATTTGAAATTGTATTGGCTTTAGTTAAAGGTACAAAGAGATTAGCTTATAAGAATACATTTTTAAGTATAAAGAATTGTATACTTTGAAAGACAAATAAAGTATTAAGTAAATATCAACACGCTAAAAAGATTCAATTATACAATGGAGAAATATTTATTAGATAAGAGGCTGAAGATATATTATCTTAATAAGAGGTTGATATTCAGATTTAATACAATAAGTATCAAAAAAAAAAGAATTCTAATAAGAAAGTATTTTCTAGTTAATACTATAATAAATACAAAAAGACTGGGCATAATATAAGAACTTGTTAAAATAATATAATAGATCTTAGATTATTAGAATCTTTATAGTTTCAATTAATTGATTTAATCGTTATTGAATAATATAGCTTTAGAATAATAATTCGAGGTAAAAATAGCCGATCCACTGATATGACCGATCCATTAATAAACCACGTTATATATCTTTTTAAAGGCATTCAATCTAAAATTAGCCTATTATATAATCAGATCATATGATCGTCGCTTATAAGCTTACGAAAGCGACTATTAATCCGAAAACGACCATTAATTCGAAAACGGCTATAAAATACGAAAACGGCTGTAAAATAAAGAAAACAAAAAGGGGCTTTATTTCGAAAGAATGGACGGATTAGGAAGAGATCTACAAGGGATTTATGAAAGCGGAAATACTGAATTAGAAGGAAAAAGCATAAAAAGAGGCCTTTTTCCCTTGAATATAGAATAAGAGAGATTAAAATAAAATACAGATTCTTTAATATCACGTGTCACACTGCTTATATAATCCATTTTAGTCGTTAACCAGAGCCAGCTTCCATACTATACTACTAGCCTATGACCTACGATAATAATTATTATAGTTTATTCTTTATTATCTAGTAATATTATCTTGCTTTTGCTATTTCGTTTAATATTAGTTATTATTATTTCAGGATATATTATATCTATTATAAAGCTAGTTTTGTTGAAATTATAGAAATTATAATTAAAAATACTATATTTTGTTTATATATTCAAAACTAAATAAAATCAGTTTTTAATAAGTTTAGGATTTTTATAAAAAGCTCTTTGAAAGTTATAAATATAATTAAAACATATTTCTAATTTTGTATAATGTTTTATGTTACGGAAATCACCGTTTTGTATAACACCATATAATTAAGCATAGTATTTCTTTGAAATGCCTATTTATATAATTACAAAATACTCTTTTATTACTAATATTAATAAGCTCTATTAATCTAATTAAACAACTTCATTGTTCAATTCAGGTATATAAAATAGGTATAATTCTTATAATTATATCTTAAGTCAATCTAGTTTATTATTACTATATATACCTATTTCCTAATTAAGGTAACCAAGTGATATAGCTATCCTCCATAATATTTTACGAATTAATAAGCCTAGAGCTTTCCAATTTTCTTTGCTCTTTGTATTTCAAGTATATAATTTGCTATATCTTTAATAATATTCAATTTAGATGAAAATCCTTTACTATCTATATCAAGTATATATTGAATAAGTACTTCCTCTTCTAGTTCAATCAAATTATAACTTTTTGGTTGACTCTTAGTTATATTAGGTTTATTTTGAATTCTATTATCTAATATAGATTGAAGTATATTATAAAGCTGAGCTGCCTTTCGAATTATTAATTTTTTATTTGATTTCATAGTTTGAATAGTTAAGATTATATATGCTTTTTTAGAATAACTTTCTATGTTTATTTATAAAGAAAACATATATCGAAAATAAAATAATAATTCGAGGTAAAAGTGGCTGATTTATTGATATGATTGATTTACTGATAAACTACGTTATAGATAGAGTAATGTTCATATTATTATGACTAGGGTTCTAGGATTATGAAAGAGGGTCTCTTTAAAAGAGTATTCTAGATTATTAAGTTAGTTTTAGTTAATGAATTATGAAATATATTATTATATTTTTGATTTAGAGTTTGTTAACTAGTTTTCTATTTTGAATTCAATATAAGCATAAGAAAACGTGCGATAACACCTACTTTTTGACCCCCCTCTTACAACAAAAATAGACACTTTAACTTATTGATATTTCCACTACCATTTACCGGTAAGTTCCAAGGGCACGGGTCGTGCAAATGCATGTCCCCGGTGTGATAGGATCTCAAAAGCGTAAGAGCATTACAGTAGTCAGGAACATACCAAAGGACACGATTGATCATGTAGTACTCTTGAAAGACTATCTGTTATTCTAGGGCTCGATCAATCATTACTATCCACTGAGTCGTTAAATTATAATAGCGTAACCTTCAGCTCGATCAGTTTTGAAATACTTTATATTTGTCAAGCTACTTAATGTTATGGTCATCTTATTGTATTTCTAGGTGATGAACAAGGCATGGGTGTTACTTGACTCAGCGCCAAGAAATGTTATATACTAAACCAAAACGCAAGAAAAGTGCATCGCATACTGACTTTCACAGAATGAATGCATTTATTCGGATTTAACACATTATCAGTGTGTACAATTCTCGAAATAAACAGATAGAAAAGTCTGGAAGGTGGATAAATACAAGAAAGTTATTTCAAAGTCAATACTGAATTCTATCCAACTTAAAAATGTAAATCTTAGTCATCAAGCTCATTCACATCACTCTCAGTATCATCTCCAGAAGGCTTTTCAAGCTCTTCATTTCTTGCACTTCGCGATGCAAAGAAAGGAAGGCTCTCATGCAGGGATCTTGCTTGACAAATGTAGCCCATTGGCGTGTGCATGATCTCTTGCCCTTTGCGGCGAAGCGTAAGCCACTCCGATAGGAAGTCAATAGGATTCTTCGTAAAAATATTTGCGTCCCCAGCAAAATTCAGTAGAGAATATGAATTTGTCTCGTGTGCGAGCTGCAAGTAATCAGATAGAAGAGCATACTCCGCGAAGTTGATGTAAAGCCGACCAGCGAAAATTCCAACCTCGATGGATAGCCATTCTGGTGTTTTACAGCCATTCGGTAAGCTAGGAAGAACATAGTAAGAAAGTCCGTTGAAGTGTTGCATACTTTTTGTGATAGGAGCAGCGTATGCAATCAGGTATACCATTGGTTTTTTTGCTCTACGAATCACCGGAATCAAAAGCTCAACTTCTTCGGAAATGACTATGAGAGCCGTCTCATTCGAAGGGCTCCACAGAATCCATTCAACGGGACGCTATGTAAAAAATTGATTAATACAACTACGAGTAGGAAAGACTGATGTGTTATAAGCTTACCAGAAAGTTGTCATCCGTTCTATGACTACCAACCTCAATAGTGCGCATAAATTCCATAGAGACGTATAATTTTGACTTTGTCCGACGAACATTATATTTTCGACCGATATCTGTCCGAGCTAGAGCATCAAATATGTGCTCATACCCACATCCAAGGATGAGGTTGCCAGTCTTAACGAAGAGAAGAATATCTGGGTGTAAACCCGAAAATGTAAGAGCCTCGTAGTGCGTTGGTTTTTGCACTTGGCGTACCTGCTCAATCTGAAATTCGACTTCTCGCTCTTGCTCTACCTCTTCTAAAACAGAGCTATGAATGTAGTTTCTCGTATTGCCTGTTGTTATCATCTGCTTATTGAGCTCTTTCATAAATCCTGCTAGCTTCGTAGACGCCATATCAGTCACATAGCTTGGTTGAATGTCCGTCACCTCTCCATATAGCTTCTCAAGGGTTTGATGCTCTGGATTCTGAATCGATTGAAGATAGGCGTCTCGTTGAGTATTGTCAGTGAAAATATCTGTATAATTCCATTGCGCATCCGTCCTACGGCAGAAGTCTGTTCCTTGTGCAAGATATAGATTTTGCAAATGCTGATTTGTACGACAGGTCTGTTCAAGAAGCCACCATACAACGTGAGAGGAATCAACCCAAAGAGATTGAGACATCTTCCCATACTGTTTAGCGCAAACATCGAGAATACTTTGGTGTACCTCAGGGGGAGCAAAGAAAGTGATAGCCTGTGTGGTTCCTAGTTGCCGTAATCTCATCGCAGCTGGTGTTTCCTGTTAATTAAGTGTATAAAAGAGAGCGAATTTCAGCATTTTACTTGCCTTGTACCATATGATCTTTTGTCTGACCGAGTCCCAATGTTAATGCTCCATGGGCTTGTTGAGGTAATTTCAAATCTACCCCACGAGTATGTGCTTCATCAATGTACACAAGGCAATCTTCAAGGTTCTCGGCAAAAGGAGTTGCGAGTAGAGGGACTACATCTTTTACTCCTCTATACTGAACCCAGGCTCTGTTGTCATCACCAAAATAGACGGCCGCTTGAGGTCCCGGATGTATCTTCAGCCATTTTTTAACAAGAGTTTTGTTGTCCATCTCCAAGATATATGCACCAGCATCGATCAAAACTTTAATTTTCGAATTTGTGATCTTTTTCAGCAACTCTTCCTCTTTCAGTCGTCTACCATTCCGAGATGCAAGCTTGTACTGCCGATTCCGGCTCTGCAGAATATAAACAAGCACTTCCGCATTGGTCTGGCATAAACTAGGTAGATCATCTTGTTTGATGCTTAGTGGAAGCATCATTTTGTTATCGTTTGTGCCGCTAAAACCAGTCGTCTTTGCGCACCAGATTGTTTCTTCTGGCAGAGGCTTTGAGAACAAGGGTATGTCCCACCCGGAGGCTTGCAACTTTATACTAAATTGCTTTGCATGATTAGGAAACACAAATGTGTTCATGTAGTGATCAAGAACGTGCCTGTTGAGCCTAAGATGACGCCAAAGCTCTTCTAGCTGTCCTTGATCGTCGATGTTTATAACATTCCAGTGAGATAAAACTTCTGGCAGGTTGTAGGAACTGCTAATCCACCTATCATACTCTGCTGCTGGATCATCAGACTTCAGAACAAGTTGCAAGCTTTGCTGAAACTGAGATAAGTTTAGACCTGTATAATAGAAAGCCAAGCAAGTGAACAGGATAGAGACATCGGGATGACCAAACTCTGCTTGCTCGGATGGAACACCTTTCGCATCGAAAGGAACTGCAATGGGATCTCTATTAGGGTGTAGACCATATTGTACATTCCATCTTTTCTTCAAGCAGAGCAAGAGAATTCTGTTCGAAAGTAAACCTCGAACAAGAAGTATATTCTTCCGAGCTGAAGATTGGTCCTTAAACAAAGCCGATACTTTCTCGATCAATTCATCATCAATATCGTGATCCGATAACAACTGTCTAATCCAAATCTTACCAACAGTAATACTTGAGCCGGTCAAACGAAGGAAAGGAATCCGGCCGTTACATATGTCATTTATTATTCGGTAGTGTAGAGCATCTTCTACGTCTTCTCGAAGGAGGTGTAATATAGGAAATCCAGCAGGTCTCTCAGTAACCTCAATACTTCGTGGAAAATCGCGTTGAAGACACGGGAAATGATCTTCAACCAAAGACAACAGGTATTGTGCAACTTTCCAACGATTTGGATGCCCATCAACAGATATCTGCGGACCACTTGGATATATCAGTTGTGTCTTGACTGCTAAGGTAAAATCAGATTCATCGAGAATGTCGCGACATGCACTAGTTAACCATGATTGGAATCCTATCATCTCTCTTGCTTCATCAAATCGAGAGTCGGCAAGACGCTGGAGTCCGCTAAGCTTGTACGATAATATATGCTCGGGAGTAGTTAGGATGACGCCTGAGAATTGAAGCATCTCGTGATGGTGTGTAGAATATAATTGGAGCATGTCCAAACTGGTTGAAGTCCGGCGAGAGAAAGGAATATATCTGACTTCTCGCCCTAATAAGCTCCCTAGCCTAGACTGAATCGTTTGAGCAGTCTGCAGAAGCAACGCCTTTGGCACAACTAGACGCGATAGTTGCTTCTTATCGGCTAGAATCGCTATAGCCATAGGTACGATACATGAGGTTTTTCCTAATAATCTGTCAGCACGTCACTTCTCGCGCTTTGTATTAAGTAGAGGATGTATGTATCAAAATACATGATCATTCAAAATTTCGATGACCCTACTTACCCTGCCCCATATTCATTTGCAGTACAGAGTTAGACCTAGATTCTGGGGACAAGATGGCATGTGCAACATCTATTTGTTCACAGCGAATAAGAATATTGGAGTCAATCTCAAGCAGTAACCAGTCGGGGAAGTGTAAAGGACTCCAATTTTCATGCCCATAATTTTGTGATTCCTGGCGTAGCTTTTGGCAATCATCCTTCAATTGAGCATGTATTATCCGGAGTAGTCTTTGCAAACTTGTGATCAGAACACCATACGTGACTAGGGTTTCTCTCATATTGCTTCCAAAATGGTTATCAGAGCTTGAACGAAGTTGTTCCAGAATTGTTATCGGCGTAACGCATGGCCATAAACCACCTAATCGAAGCCATTGAAAACGAATATCATCGGCAGAGAGGGCATTCTGAATTCGCTCAAATGCTTCATTCAGAATCACGTGACAATTTTCGATATCTTTCTTAGTGATATTCATAGCTGGCTGATTCCATTGAGGCTGCGGCAACTCATTAGTGTTCTTTAAAGCAAGAAGGCTCTTCTTCAAGTCGTTTCCATATTGCTTCCGCAGAAGATCCGAGGACTTGGTAAAACAATCCAAGATTCTATCTAGCTCAAAAATTTCCTTACATAAAGCAGTCTTTCCAGAAACCCCATTGCAGTTAATAGATGGACATAAAATCCGAGGTTTATCAGGCAGATGGGACGTAGGAATGAGAGCGGGTTTCGCTAGAAGATCTGACAGCGATGGAATAACAACGCCATGAGTAGTCATGGATAAGGGGGTTGATTTCTTATCCCAAACATGTGGCGTCGAGGTACTTTTCCCAGCTTTGTGGCGATCTAAAATCTCTTGAGCTTGAGTAACATATTCCGAAAGACGCATGTTCTGGATTAATCGTTGCCATTCGGGGTGGACTTTCTTAACAACTCGTTTGACATCAAGCAAGTTTGATTGGAATCCTTCTGCTGATAAAACTTCACTAGGCCACTGCTCTAACAGAAAAAGAGCTAATCTTTTCCCCTCAGCTTTGCATAGTGCACCGTGTCTTTCGCGAAAACAATTTTTCTCCATATCAGTCATACTAGCAACTGGTTCAGTAACAGGATAATCATCTGCGATAAAGCTTGAAAGCATTTCAAGTGTTGGAGAGCTGTAGGGTTTGAATCTAGTAAAGTAAGGGCTGTTTGGTGGCTGCAAAGCCTTCAACTCATTCAAACAGCCAAATGCGGCTAGGGAATGTATCGCATCTATGTCAGGCTTTGTACCAAATGATAGAAGACTTAATCGAAATAACAATTTATGCGGCTCTTGAGGATCATTCTGTCGGCAAAAGTTTGTGAGGCTACCCCATTGCTCGCCGATATCGTTCTCTATCAGATCGCTAAGGCAACTTGAAACGTTTTGTGAATCTGATTTGGTATGGTGGAATCCACCGATCAGTTTCCAATTTTTCAGAACATCTGCTAGCTTTCTTGTCAAATGGACGCGAAACTGTTGCTTGTGAAAAAGTCTCGCGATTTGATAAACATTGGTAGCTTGATGCAAATTGGCATGCCGATCTCTGGAGTCATACACCATGTCCTCGGTTGTAGAAGTGTCTACATAAGAAACACTGCGCTCGTAACGAAGGCGCTGGATTTTACCACGCTTACGTAGTTGCAAAGGGCAGTCAGTCTGAAAATTGATGGGCGTACCTTGATCTGCGGTAAAGTATCGGAGCTGATCTGATTTAGCCAGTATATCTTGGACAAGGCCCTCAAAGCTATCGTGCTGAACGTTAGTAGTTAAATGCTGGTCCCAAATTACTTTCTGCAAATGCCTCTTGTCCTTCGGATAATACTCTCTAATTGGGCTTAGTCTGCCTATGACTTTTAAAATAGAGGCAAGACTATCATTCAGCGGCTGCCAAGGCTGGCAGTAGCCCGATCTGAGTGTGTATAAAGCTTCCTCAGTGCCAGTGCGCCCGGTTAGAGGATCAGGTAGGACAAACGAGGTAAACGCATGAAATTGAGCTTTAGAGTAGAACAAGCGTGGCTCAGACGGACATGTTAACCGTCCTAGAACACTGTCGATTTCGAATCTGCCATATTCGGTAGTACTAGTCACTTGAACCTCAACGTGCATACCACGACGCCTGCAGGTCAGCTGTCCCAATGGAATAATTATACTTCGTCGCTCATGATTGACATTATCTCGAAGCACAATTTTGCTCAGGAGACCGTAAAGTGTTCCCGCGTCTTGATCGGGGTCAATTTCTGCGTGCAGCTCTCGACACTCAAGAAGGTTTTTTGAGTTGACAAAAAATGACAGCTCAAGGTGTCGCATTTCAACTGAAAGGGAACCTAGTTTGGCCTGAAATACTGTCAACCTTCGGGGATCCTCAAAATGACGAAAGACTTCTGCTACGCGCTTGAAAAGATCTGAATGTGGATCAACCAAGTTAACCCGATTTCGTTGCGCCCGGAAATTCGATACGTTTAGATTCCAGTCACTTGGCCTAGTCACCCATATTGAAGGTTTTCGTCGGATTTCCAAACGTCTTTCATGGAAATTCAGCCAGTGCACGCAATTCTCGGTCAGACTTGAGGGAAGGTCAAAGTTGTCGCCGCTTATGAATATACGCCGAGGAATATATTCTAGGATGTTGCCTTTGTTGATAGCTCGAATAATCACGTTCTCTCCGCGATGACCGAAATGAACTTGATTTTTTTCTACAGAAGTGATCATGACGTGACTCATGCCTACCAAATTTGAGGGGTAGGTCAGAAGGTGCTGGTCTCCAAAAAGCTCCTTGACATCCTCTGATTCTCTGATATCCAGTGGCAGTCTCCCTAGTGGCTTTCCATCAAATAGCAGATGTCCCTCAACAAAATTATAGTGAACTCTCTGGGATGCTATGAACTTGTTAGGTGTACTAGTAGTTACTGAAGTGGCCCATCTATCGTTCGGAAAAGAAGGAAATTGCCATGTTGAGTATGTCCTCCCCAGAAATTCCCCAGAATTAGACCATGCTTTATCAATTGCAGCACCTAGGCTTTCGGGATGTGATTCAATAGAAATGCGGATAAGATTCTGTATATCATGTGCCATTCTGTTATCCCTGACTAGCATATTCTTCAAGATCCTGGGTAGCTTCATGATTTTAACTATAAGGTTCTCTTGCAGAGCTATCGATCCTTGAACAAAAGACGATAAATCCTCTGTATTTAGCTTGGAATCCGAGCCAATGAAAATGCTGAAAGTTCTTCGACAAAGTAAAGCAGCCCAGAATCCATATCTTGCCGCTGTCTCTGCTGTTTTTGCATCAGTTGTGTTCCTAATCTCCTTGCGGAGATGGCAGATCCATTGTAGGGTCGACTTGCGCGCGTTCTTCAAAAGCCTTTCTGCAGACTGACGATCTTGACCTGATGTCAATTCAAAAATTCGAAGGCTTAATGTGATGAGCATTTCCATGCAATATACCTCTCGCCAGTTGGTGGCTATATTGTGAAGACGATTCTCTATCTGCTCTATCAATCGCTGGCAAAATGATGAATCCCTAAATACAACATGACAATCTCGGAGAACATCTACTTGGTTCTTTGATGGCCCTGCTTGTACAGCGAGATGATTGAAGATAAGCATAGTATCCTCGGCACTACAGTTTAGGTTCGAGGCACCCAGCTCAACCAGCATAGTAAGCCACCGAAGATTCTTACCAGAGAGCAACTTTTGATAGCTCATGAACTCATGAACTGAAATATCTGAGGGACACTTGGATTGACTAGCGATGATCTCATAAGATGATGGTCCATCAAAACTCGGATCGGGATGTACTGGAGATTCGATGACTGAGGCTCGTAGAGATCGCGGAATATGTATTCCACAGAGATGTTGAAGGGTCAACTGTTTATCGAGATCTTTCAGCCATATGCCAGATTTGGAATCATAGTAAGAAAAACTAAGCCCTAATGGCAAAATAATATCGGAGAGTTTAACTTTCATTTTTAGTGCCTGAAAATGAGTTTGAAGAAAAGATTTCTTTTCTGATGCAAGTGAAACACCATCCGGAGATGATTTCATGAAGTACCGAAGCTGAGAGTAGTCTTTCAGTAGCATTGCTGGTGGTGAAGAGTTACGAGGCTTGCTCGGGTACCCTAGATCGCTCATTATCCTGAATGTTGCATTTCGATATACCGCTAGGAATTTGGGCATCCCAAGGTCTAGTACGACTGCTGCTTTTTGCGTGCTCCCTTTCGGCAAAAAGTCCTCATGGATAGAAATCCTCATTTTTTTACGACAACGCCGGTGCCAGCACTTTTTGCAACCTTTAACATCAAGAGATCCATCATCATTTCTAGTGCAAACACAGATGGTGCTGGTAATTTTCTGACTAAGATCTTCGTATCTTCCGCAAATGTTTTCCCATTCACGTTCTTTCTTTGTGCGAGCTTTGAGTGACTCTTCGTCGATTTTTTGCTGTAGTCTGCTTAACGGGATGGATTGATTTACAAATTGCGCCGCGAAGCAATCTTCACTAAATTCGCTGAAAATTGTCTTGTGAGAAAATCGACAGTCGTTGAGTCTACTATATAGATATCTTTGGATATCTTGAAGGCGTATCATGCTTGATAATTTGTGGAGCTGCAGAACATCCAATAGGGCAGGATTGAATACTGGAGCATATTCACAGAGGAGGGGACAGGCTCGCAAAGCACACCTATCCATCTGAACCCAATTCTCAAACAGATTCAGAATGAATATGCTCATTTGCTCTGGATCAGAATCATAAGCATCTCCAACTTTGATGAGCATCTCGCATATCAAGTTTGCTGATTGTATACAACGAGTTTCAGAATCGCCTCCAGAATGATATGACGATATCCTTTCTTGCTCTGTGTTTTTCTCCAATCGAACCAACGAGAAGTAACGGTCAGTAAAATCTGTGAATTCTCTTATAGAACTATCATCCAAAAGAGAGACATGAACAGATGTCGGCTTTCTCTGCTGATTAGATTCTAGAGCAAGAAGATTGCAGAGATACCCCCTGCTATTTGGGAGAGTAAGATTTAAAGCTTTCTCGTCCGCGTGAGTTGGAAGTAGCGGAATAGACCGGGTGATTTTTGTCTTGAAGTTTGCCCAGGCTGACTCTATCCTATCTGTAGTGTCCTTGATAGTTCTCTTCAACATCTTATTGATCGAGTCGAAAAAATGTTTGTGAACGGCTGAATCACGGTAAACGCGAGCCTTATCCATTTCCAACTTCGCAAGGCGGCGGCACAATTTGGCTCTGAGTATCACAGTCATTTCTGGTGAAAGCTGAATAGCAGAGTCTTCAAGAAGCTGTGCGAGAACAATGCAAATAAGAAACTTGTAGCAAATTAGTCCATACTTGGTTCCTAAGTCAAGACAAAGCTGACGTTGAATGGCGACTCGGAGAATGAGCCAGAACGGCAGCCTTCTCCACGGAAACTCTGAATTATGAAAATTGACATCATCCCGCACTCGCTTTCTTAGCCTAGGCACTTCGACAGAGGATCCGATAGCCTCGAGCAGGGGCATCAGCATCTGCACAATCAGAGCTGGGTCAGTTGTACCCCGAGCCTCGACAACATAGACTTCTGCTTTCTTAGAACGCGCGACAAAGCGACTTAATGACTCTGTACTAGCCTGCTCAAGAAATGAGGCAAGGCTATCCTGGAAACTCTCTTTGAGAAATTCATCGAAAGGTATGCCGACAGCGCGACCTGGAAAGTCCCATTGTAGTGCATTCTCAGTAGCGAGGACATGTTTGGAAGAAGGCGATGCCTCAAAAACTTCAAAGATCACAGTGTCTTTGTCCTCACTACATATTATAAGTTAGCCGGAGTTTTTGTGGTCGCTCAACTTGAGTTCCAATACTTACTGAACATGGCGTCGAACAAGGAGTGCTGCATTTTGCTCCACCACATACAAGATAAGAAGAATATTTCGTTGGAGGTTGCAGAATTCTTGTAGCATCGATGCTTTATCAAGACCATTTCGATTTACATTGAGACAAATGCGAAGAGAATTGCAGACAGAATTCCATGTTTCCCCAAAAGGCTGGTCAGTGAAGTTGTACATGGTACCACAGGCATGTATAAGACGAAGCAGAATGTCCTGCTCAATACTTTCCAGTTCTACATCCTGATGTTCTGGAAGCTTGGGTGGTAGAACCAAATGATTGAAAACTGATTCAAGTAACTTCATTGTCACTAATGGATCTGGAACCAATTCACAATGTAGAATAGAAAATGTTGTGTGCTTTCACAACTATGTGATCTAACGAGTTGAAGTACATCTTCATCATATTTATTTAACAAAATCAAAAAAAAATGTGAATGAATCATGCGTGTCATACTAACCGCATGCTGACAAGAGTAGTTCTGCTGTCTTCAATTATTACAAGTACATGAATGTATAGTCTAAAGGTTTTTTCTTCTTCTACATGAAGGCTAACAGAACACTCGGTCGCCACTAACAGGCAATCTAGTAATTGCTAACGATATACAAGTAGACTCTTGGGTTTCAAATTCTTCAGGCACTGCTTTAGCGTTTATTTCAATCGTGCTACATCTTTTGCCTTTAATTATTATACTTCAACTAACATTTTACAAACTCAAGTAGTATCATTAATAAACTAAGCTCACATATGCAAACACAAATGTACATTCATTCATGGAATTTGAAGAGATATAGTGATAGAATAGTAAACTACCTCGAATTTTGTATATCATCCATCTTTTCTCTTAAGAGATAATATCAAAATTTGTTGTGGCACATTTGCTACCTTGATATTTGCATATGTAAGTAAGAAAAAAGCAAAATGTATGAGTAACTAACCACACTGTTGGTTTAAACTTCTTGTTTCGATCGACAAACTTCAGCGACTGATTATGGATTGTTTGGCATCAAAGACAGGTGTCTATTGATGATAGGTTATTAATCGTATATTTTTAATTCGGCGGACGACCATACCATTAAACTGTCATGTATAGTCCTACAAAAAACTTGGCGTTCGTTTAAGATCAGTAGAAATTCCCTCGTAGCTTGCGATGATAGTTTTGCAACTTAGAAGATAGTGCAATGAGAAGTAATTCTGTGTGGACCAACCGCTGATCACGCCTATTCGAATTGAGAAATTAGCGCTCCGAAGCCGCTGGGTTTGAAGGTCTAAATCTGAGATTCTAGAAAGATATGGGTATCTGTGTCGCTGGTCGACTACCAGCAGTTAATTTAGGTTATAACTTATGTTCAAATTTAAGCCACTCGAATAGAGCCTGGTTCCCATCTACACAGATGGACTAACTCAGTCAAAACAGCAATGAGGATACAGATAAACCGCCGCTTTCTCTGCGATCTATTCAGATATTGGTCATATAAAGATATACCTTTCACTGACGCAGTGCTCGCCCATACAAGTAAATTCATTAATTAGAGAAGAAGAGGAACAGATCGCTCAATTCAAAGAACAATTCATTCTCAATCTTAGAATTCATGATCGAACACGAAATGAAGCCTACTGTCTAATCGAACTTGGAACAGCGGCTACATGGCTTTTCTTCGCTGGGTCTCAAATCGAGGCTCGCACGTAAGAGATAGTTCTTAGTGTAATCCAGAGTCAAGACTTGTCCTGGAATAGTTGTCATGGGATAAGCGCAAGTAGAGTGCGTGATTTATATTACTGGCTGGCTAAATGAGTAGTGTATGTGTGGTGCTAATAATAGTGGCTTGTCTGTTGCTCAACTTGGGAAGGTAATTCGTACTACCTCTACCTTACTAGTAAGATAGCATTCCCGAGAAGGGGAATATTTAAGAATATAGAACTTCATGATTCAGTTACATTGCTAAATAATCAATCAACATCATTACACATAGACCGAAATCAAAACATAAAGTCCTTTTCAAGTCATCAACCGATTTTGCTGACAATACTACGGGATTGTTATGCAAAATCTAATAGATTGTATACAACACCAGAGACTCCTTTGCATTTTGATACAATCAATATAACGAGCAGAGATCCCAGACTGTAGGTGATCCTCCCTTATAAGCTGCCTTTGTATACAAATAGAGCGAGGTCATCCAGCAATGCGTTCAGCTCATTCCTCCTATGTAAAAATAGAATGATAAATTCAAGTTCACATATGTTGCTTAGAAACCTGCATTTTTCCTTTACGAGATGCATTACATGATTTACATGATTTAGCTGTGTAATCAGAAAACTTGAATATCTTGAAGCCTGCCATCTTCTACCAGAAGCTACGACTCACTCATGGCTCACTCAAATCGATCTATTAGTTGTCTAGCATAATGGAACTTGCTGAGCTTATCGCATTATTGTGCAAACATTTGAGGTCATCAAAGGTGCATGAACAGTTGTCGGACAAAACAGAATTACAAATTTGACGACTATCAAGAGATGATGTGAAATCCTGCATCGAGCCAAAGAAAGATGATTGCTTGCTTGTATTTGTGCGGCATGAATGGTGATCTTAGTTTTGAATCTTACTTTGAATTAACATTAGAAAAAAGCACGACTTTGCATGCCATGAGGTAAAATATGTCAAGATGCTTTCAGCGATTACTGTTTCCTTTCTCTTTTGCTGAATCCCTCACTAGATAACACAAGGTTCTAACGAAGTTGAAGACTATGAGCCAGAAAGGTTAAGCACGATATAGAAATGCGGGAGGTTGCAAGAATGAATGATATCAATTTTGAAAATGCATACCGGCATATTTTATCTTCTCATTCCCTTCTATAGACCAATTCGGCAACCCCAAAGTAGCCGTATGTGCCTTTTGGTTCGTTTTTTACATGAAAAATTCAATGATCACTAACTTAACACTATCTTCACCCCAATATTTAAATTCAAAAGACTTATTCAGTATAAATAAATCTCTCTAGATATATTAGTGCATTATTGATATATAGAAAAGATTTTGTGTATTACAATCTAGAACCTAATACGAGTTGCTTACAGATTTAGCTCTTTGTTGTTTCAAACATATTTGATGGCTTGCCTCTGCAGAATTATGCACCTGACAGGTCACTATATGCCAGAGATTGCCACGTGTATTTGAGTAGCTGGAAACTTCTGTACAACTGTTCGATAATGCTACTGCGAATCTTGACACCGTAAGTAAGACGAGACTTTGAGGCGACTGCGATAGACAATCTCAATTGTGTATATAACAGCCACCAGATTTCGTCTGAACATTACTACGATCAAGAAATTAGTATATCAGACTTTACGAAAAAAATATCGAATTATCGCAACTGCAACTGCAATATCACATCACCATGGCCAGGAAGACAGCGAAGCTATTTCGAAACAACGGCTTAAGCAGCCTCTGTTCTGAGGATCAAATCAAAATAATGGACACCATTGATAACCTTCGTTCTCAAGGTATCAATCATTATATCTCTTTGCCACAAATCATTGTTTGTGGTGATCAATCATCTGGGAAAAGCTCGGTTCTCGAGGCTATTTCGGGCGTGCCTTTTCCTATCAAGGGAAACCTTTGCACAAGATTCCCGACTGAATTGATCCTTCGGAGAACGCCTGATGTCGGCGCTCGTGTGAAAATCGTCCCATATCACTCTTCTAGCGAGGCTGAGAGGACATCTCTAAGCGAATTCGACCAAGAGCTTGATGATTCTGGCGGCCTAACAAAGCTGATCGAGGATGCGGGGGCAGCAATGAGTACTCATGAAAATGGCAAGGCCTTCTTCAAACACCTCCTTCGAGTTGAGATCTCAGGTCCTGATCGTCCTCACTTGACCATAGTCGATTTACCAGGATTGATACACTCGGAGACGAAGCAACAATCGGCTTCCGATATTGAAGTGGTACAAAGCACTGTCCAGAGTTATATGAAAGAACCACGAAGCATCATCCTCGCGGTGATTTCTGCCAAAAATGACTACGCAAACCAAATTGTGCTCAAGCTCGCACGTACTGCTGATCGTGATGGTACTCGAACTTTAGGCGTGATTACAAAACCTGACACTCTTGTCGCAGGCGCCGAAAGCGAAAACCACTATGCTACTCTTGCAAAGAACCAGGATGTAAAATTCTCCCTTGGGTGGCACGTGTTGAAGAATATGGATTCTGAAATCGGAACTTGGCCGTTATCACACCGCGACTCTGAGGAAGGGGAGTTTTTTTCCAAAGGCATCTGGAAAGAGTTTCCTGCAACATCACTAGGGATAGGCCATTTGCGCAAAAGGCTTAGTGATGTTCTTCTACGCCAAATTGTAGGCGAATTGCCAGGGATGATTGAGGAAATTCAAACAGAATTCGAGAATTCTACGAAACGACTTGAAGCACTTGGAGAACCGCGGACAAATTTAGAGCAACAACGGCACTACCTTCTACACATCAGCCTTCAATTCCAAAAAATCTTGAGACTAGCTGTAGATGGAACATATGATGATCCATTCTTTGGTGATGCCAAGTCTGAAATTGGTTATCAAAAACGATTACGAGCTGTACTCCAGAATCTTAACCTCAGTTTTGCCAACAAAATCAATTATGAAGGCCATAGATACTATATTACAGATAATGCACCGAAAAAGAAGAAGAATAATGACTCCGACGATGAAAGTAATACAACGATATCAATCACCAAAGATCAATTCATAAACAAGATTGAAGATCTTATGAAGAGAACAAGAGGTCGTGAGCTACCAGGCTCATTCAACTCGTTGATCATTACTGATCTATTCAGATTGCAATCAACCCCCTGGGAAGCTATTACGCAAAACCACATCAGAGAAGTTCTCTCCAATACTCGTACGTTCATCCAAACCCTGAGTTCAAGTATTGCAGATTCTTCGACATCAGAGGCGCTATTTTCCAGGATCCTCGAGCCAGCTTTAGACGGGTTGTCGAAAAATTTACAGTCAAAAGTCGCCGAATTACTCAAACCTCATCAACAAGGCCACCCAATAACTTATAGCCAAGATCCTGATCTGTCATTATCGTCTACACGTCGACAACGTCTTGAAATCGAATTCAAAAACATAACTCAGAAATTCTTTGATGGTTCTGATATCGCCAGTGTTTATATGAATAGTTACCGAGATTTGCGTCCTCTAATCACGCAACTGGTGAACGAGGCAGAACCAAACATGACACGACCTGAATGCTATGATGCTTTAGTACGGATGCAGGCTTATTACAAGGCAAGCACAAAGCAAACTTCTCACCTTCTTTCATAGAAAACATAGCTGATACGAACTACACAGGTTGCATTAAAACGATTTGTTGATGACCTTGCTGTGGAGGCCATTGAAGATACACTGGTATCTCATCTTCACGCTGTTTTTCCACCTCTATCTGTTATATCCATGGATGATACTCTCGTGACTGATGTGTCGGGTGAGGCTGAGAGTAATCGTAGTCAACGTGAGCAATTAACTAAGAAGTTAGAACTTCTCAAGAAGGGCTTAGAGATCTGCAAGCATTTTACCAGTGGAGGATTTATGTGATTGCGTAATCTAGATCGTCAAAGATATGCCGGGATTGAATTTAAGTATCAAGGCTTGAGTTTCATTCTACTCTCGAAAAGTCACAATTTATACTTCTTAGCAAAGCTTCCTGATTTATCAGGTCGAGTACTCTCTCCGTGATATAACTTGGCTTCATATACTGTACAGAGGAATGGATTGAGCTTGCGTGCGTCCCGATGGCACGCTCGAAGGAGTTTCACTACCAAGGATGGCTGAAAAGATGGCATTGAGGCCTATATAAGCGTGAATGAAATGTTGACCACAAACCAGATAATTGATTCCTTCGAGCTACGTAACACCAGCTTTGAATCATCTCCTTATTTGAACCCTTCATCGTTTCCCTCCTCCAACATCGAAAATTCGTCCTTTAATCAAGTCTAAAACCACCCGAATTTCTCACAACTAGACTAAAATATCTCTACTTTCTACTTAAACACTTTACACCTAGATCTATTGATATCACGTCTTCTCTCCCTGAATTGATAACATAAATCACAATCAAAATATTGAAATGACATCAGTTGTGCTTTTCTACACATTTTCAGAAGCATATAGAATGCTGAATCGCTATAAATTCTTATCTGATCTTCGCTCGCGTTTGCCTAATCCAATCTTCGTAGGAACCTGTTTGTGATAATCGGTTGCAATATTCCTAGTTTGTTTATAATAGCGATCTTGATAATTTTGACTATTGTTTTGTAATTAATAATTTGCTCCCTCTGATATGGCTTTTTATATCGGGCTTCTAATCACTTTAGTCCGTATGTCTCCGTGGCATATCACCAATTGAGATGTGGTGACAGCTTCTGAGTCATGAAAATCGATGAATATATGCCATCTTCAATTACAAAGGACCCGAAGGACTGCATAGTAAATGCACAAACAGATCACTTTGAGTTTCTGTGATAGTTCCTATCATCGTATAGCTTTACTACTATGAAAATTCATAGATCACTATCCTTGTTGTATGTTGTACACTTTGTTATAATACAGAAATTTTTGCCCATTAAACATACTCAAATTTATATAAGTCTTTCAGAACTCCAAGCATTAATAGTCAACTTCAACCTTGACTTGCTTCTTACATAGCACAGCATGCATGCATATAAAAGAGAATGACAATACAGCCCATTACATGATTCGTTCATCCCTCCAAGTTCCGTTGTGAGTCATTCGGTGCCGGAGAAGATGATCCTTCGAACTTACTAGTGGTCCGTCCAAATTCCGTCGTAGAGTCATTCGGTGTTGGAGGAAATGACCCTTGAACTTACTATTGGTCTGGAGAGGCGCATCATCTAGAAGACTGCCAGCATGTTACTATCCAAAGCTCAAGCATATGCACTCGTTCGTTTTTGCAATGGTCAGACGATAAGGCCACGGCATTGCAGTCACGACCATATTGATCTATCTATTCTCTTTCTCCAAAGGTATGTGAGGCGAGAAGGAGGAGATAGCGTTTTATCAAGAAGTTTCCTCTAGTTTAACTATCCTACATCCACACTTTTTACAGACCATCAATCAACTGGAAGGTACGGCTAAACGGGATAAATGAATTCATTATTTTGTGTATATGATATCCTGATACAGATATGCCTTGTTAAGGAGACAAGAAAGAAAAGACAGCGTATTGAGTACGGTTCTTTACGCCATCAAAATTCAGTTTAAGATTATATCAGCGATATTAACCGTTCTACTGATTATACTATTAAAGATCGGCTTAGTATCTATCTCTACCTTTTACTTAAGCCATATATAAAGTGTAGTCAATTCTCAATTAATAATAAGACTTAATTATAACTTATAAGTTTAGCTTATTATAAATTATATATTAATTCAATAGACATAATGAATAAAGACTTATAAAGTAATAATCTGATTAAAGATCCGATTTGTTCTATAAGTGTGAGGTGATCTTAAGCTAACCTGGGCCAATTTGCCGAATGCGGAACTAACGATGGATGTTTGTTGATAGTCCCTAAAGAAGCTTAGGAGCATCCCTGGTATCTCGAAAATTAATTAAAGTGGACTACTTACCAACGGTTCGTACTACAAAGCTTACACTACGTTCTTATAAATCTTTCTTGTCTTTATCTTCAATGACTGGATCTGTAATAAATCTTCTATATTTAGTAATCCATACTACTCTTATAATGGAGATAAAGAATTCCTGATATAGCTATAAGTTATAATTAATTTTTAATTTTTAAACTATGGCTTGCTTCAAATCACACTGACAACATCAGGATCGAAGGAAGACATTTTTGAGGCAAGGTAGAAAGGAGGAGATGGGAGGGCAATTGTTCGTTAGCTCAACTTAGAGATTATCTTGTTTCGTTTGTTATACAAGATTAATTGCTTTACGCAGATGGATTACTATGCGGTATTCTAGTGCTTGCTCGAAGTTCTTCGATTAGTATGTTCTATTGTTATAATGTAGGAGAGATATCTTCGGTGGCTGCATTTCACTATCAAGATTTAAATCAATATTCATAAATCTCGGATCAGATAAGTCAAAATTTAACTGCGAATATGAGGCAACTAATTATTGTAACTCTATAAGATATCTATACTATAGATACTATCTTATTTGAATCAATATTTAATGCTTCTAAGAGAATAAGTTATAATCTCCTTATTAAAATTGATTACTATTAATATTAATCTGCGTAATCTTTTACAAGATAAAGAAAACCTTCTAGTTTATAGTAGATGAGGAAAAGATAAAATAATAAGGGCCTGTTCAGATCGTTTTTTTAATTTGTTATCAAAATAAGATTAATTAACCCTATAATAACAGAATCCGTGGTTAATAAAGTAATCCTTTCGTAATTATTATAAATTCTATAATACCTTTATTATATATTAAATAAATCATTTTTAAAGTATTAATATAATCAATCTAAGTCTCTATATTTTATAAAGCTTATTTTAATTAATAAGTTCTTAATGAATTTCTTGAATTCTGGAAGATTAATTGAAAGTTTCGGTTTGAGGCAACAATTATCTGTTAAGTAGAAAGCTTCTAGGTTTTACTTGCTTTTCAACCCCCCCCCCCCCTTTCTTCCTTTTCTTTTCCTTTTAAATTGATTTTTTATTAGATTTCAATAAAAGAATAGAAAAGTTCTTTTAAGTGTTTTAATTAGAATCTATTAAGGATTACTAATCTTTCTATTATATTTCTATTTATTGAATTCAAATTTATTTATATATAGATTGAAATCAGGTTATATTCTTGTTTAAATAATACATTCTGTATTATATAACATAGTAATATAGCTTGTGATTTTACTTAAAAGCTTTCTTATAGGTTTCTCTTATATAATATAGCTTATAGAAAGGACTCTACTCCTTTTTAAACTTTCGATTAATACCTCCCGCTTACCCCTTAGCTCCTATACTTATTCCCCTTCTCCCCTTTAGCTTTTATTTACCTTTTATTTATCTCTTTGACTTTTTATATATATATCTTTTCATTCATTTTTCTTTCAATTCTAATATTTAAAAATCTTGAAAGCTTTAAGGCCTTTTAAGGTTCTCATTTTCTTTTTTTTAATCAAAATTCAATAATAAACAGATTGCAAAAAGAATTAATTTGATTTATTAGTAACAAAGAGCTCTATTCGTTATTAACGAATATATATATTAATATTGTAATATATGAAATAGAAATTTGTATAGGGGTTTATATTGAATTTCTCTTTATCCGGAATATCGTAGGTCATAGGCTAATAGTATAGTATAGAAGCTGGCTTTGATTAACAACTAAAATGGATTATATAAGCAGTGTAACATGTGATATTAAAGAATCTGTATTGAATAGTTATTTTTCTTATTCTATATTCAAAGGGAAAAAAGCCTCTTTTTATACTTTTTCCTTCTAATTTAGTATTTCCGCTTTTATAAATCTTTTGTAGATCTCTTCCCAATCTGTTTATTCTTTCGAAATAAAGCCCTTTTTTATTTTCTTTATTTTTATATCCATTTTCGGATTTATGGCTGTTTTCGGTTTAATGGTTGTTTTCGGATTAATAGTTGCTTTTGTAAGCTTATAGGCGATAATTATGTGATCTGATTATATAATATACTAATATTGAATTGAATGCTATTAAAAAATATATATATTATATTATTTTTTTAATTAAAATAATAATCCCTTTTAATATATATCATCTTTTTATATATATATAAATATATATATATTAGTTTCATTAAAAACCTTTTTATTTTAAAGGGAAAAAAAGTACTAATTTTTTTATATATATTTTTATTTTAATAATAATAATTATTAAAATTTTGAATCATATCAATAAATCTTGATAATTTGATTCTTTTTAATAACTTAATTAATTTATTAGCTAATTGATTTTTTGTAGAAATCTATATTAGATTTAAATATTCTTTATTTATAAGATTTCTTATATAATAATATTTAGTATTAATATACTTACTTTTATTATAATATATAGAATTATCTGATATAGCTTTTGTTAATATATTATTCGTATATAATGGGAATTTATTTTGATTAAATTGATTTAATTCCTATAATATATATTTTAAATATATAGTCTCTTTAGTAGTTAAATTTATAACAATTAGCTTAGATTCTACTATATTTTGTACTACAATAGATTACAATTTAGTCCTCTAGCTGATTAGACTATTAGTATATATAAATATATAGCTATTAATGGATTTAGTAAAGCTTTTATCTTTTGTATAATCTATATCACAAAATCCTTTAATATATTTATTATTATCTTTCTTATATATAATTTTAAACGTTTTAGTTTCTTTTAAATATTGAAATATTCTTTTTATAGTTATTATATAGTCTTTACTAGAATTAGATATATATCTTACTAATTTTAATATAGAATAAACAATATCTCATTTAATTCCTAGTACTAAATATAATAATTTCCCTATTGCTTTTTGAGCCTATTTTATTTTATTTAAATCAGCTTTATTAGGATTTA